AGTATGTGCTTCAGTTTGTCAATGTTGTTGGTACTCAGAAATGAATACAGTACTTCAGATGAGGCCTGATCAATCCAAATTAGAGTAGAATTATACCTATCTATGGTCTGAATTCGTTATTTACTTATGTATACAATCCGTATCCTGCCATTTTGCAGATAATGCTCCTGGTTAAGGAGCTTAGTATTGAATTAGCTTTTCCCATAGCTGCACTGCATTCTGGCTCATATTCTGATTGTGATCCATGAAGACATCTAGATCCTATCCACATAGGTAGCTCATAAGTTAGAGTATACTCATCTTATATGTGTGTCTTCATACAAAATGGAAGATACAGATAAACATTTATCTCATGTTGAAATGAAAGAGAGATACCATCTTGGAGACTAGTACTTATTTCACAAATGCCTTTACAATCTTATATAAAAGACAGTGCTGTCTTAATATCATGATTGGTTATGTTTGCACTTACCCTAGATATTAAGAGACATGAACATTTATATTGCCTGTTTTCAAGACTGCCAAAGGAAAAAAATGAGGTTAAAGATATCTTTTTTGGTGTTTTTTTGTTTTGCTTTGTTTCTTTTTTTTCATTTATAAAATTCCCAATATTTAGGAAAAAATATCAAACTGCCCCTGGATTTGTTGATTCTTTATGATACATTAGAGTTTGCATCTTCTAGCACATGTTTATAAGATTACATTGGCTTATCACTTCACAACTATTTTAAGTCACAGACAATTTCATAGAAGCACAGAGCTTTCTTAGAAAATAAGTCTTTAAAGATACATACATCAAATTTACTAGAACAAAGGGAAAAACTGGATTTTAAAACCATTAATATATGCAAGTTATTTTGCATTTTAAAAAATGTGAATACAAATATGAACTAATCAGAATCCAGTCCAAAATAACATTCAGTTGAAAAGAAAACTGCAATTAAGTGTGTTGTACAGCAGCTACTATAATCAAAATGGAAACCAAAAGCTATATAAATAGTGGCATTCAAACAGCTATTCATATAATTTGCTGTACTAAAAACATATCCCTGCCCAACTTGTTTATACTTCAAATTTAAGTAATTGACTTTTCCAAACTATGAAAACCTGTTTATTATATTATGGTGGTGCTTCCTGTTAAAACGATAAATAAGTTGCATTTATAGCTACGTATATAAGAAAATAAATCCTGGATTGGAATATTTGGTCACCAACATTGCATTGGTAGCCAAGCCAAGAAGGAAGATGTCATACCTGTTTTGCTAGATGTTTAACAGTGAGATGATTAAACCTCATATTCTTTGCTGGATTAATACATACTTTGGTTCATGGTTTACCCATGGTTTACCTTGGGTCAGGCAATTATAGTTTGTCCAATAAGCCATGGCTCAAACAAAGGCTGGTTGAACGTTCATTTTAAAAAGCACTCCCCTTGTGTTTAGAAAACAGCCCAAATGACAGGCCACTATTGCAGAGGAGGGATTGTGAGGAGGAGGACTGGGGGAGGCTAATCTCTTGCTGCACCCAGTACCCTTCAGTGACCTGTCAGACTTCCTGGGTGGAATTCAGTTGGTATTTGAATAGACTGAAATGTGTATGTGTAATTAAACATCTCTACTTACTCCGTGGTTCACTGCAAATGAAGGGCAGTTCTGGCAGCAATGTCAGTTCGGATCTTTATAAGTGGTTCATAGTGGAGGCACAACAGCCCTGCTTCTCCCAAGTAATAAAACCAGCAAAAACTATAGCCACGTAAAATCTCTACTTGACAGAAGCAGCAGAAAACCCGTACTGCGTTCCTTGGGGGCAGAATCAGCAGAGAATCGCTGGGAGAATTCAACTTACTTTCCCAGTTTAAATCAGTCTTCTGTGCAAAACAGCACATCATTCTCTCCAGAGAGTGCTAGTCCTGTGTGTGTGTCTGTGTGTGCATGTGTGTGTGTGTGCGTCCCATATAATCTCCAGTATAATGCCTTACCAGTGATTTCCAAAGCACCAGTCTTGGCATTATGTGGGTAGACGCCCCTGCAGAAACCAGGGATCCGGTCTCTCCTGCATCCAAGCAAAAGGGCCACAAACAGCCGTGCTCAGAGTCCAGAGGGAAGGAAGCACACTTGCAACAGTCCAGGTGGAGCTGGACAGGTCCCAGACCCTGACTGCATTAACCACCATAACATCAAAGAAGCACCATAGCTTATGGCCACAGACAAAACTGGATCAGAAGACTTTACTTTAAAAAAATGGAATACTATATGCAGATATAAGCTGTTGCCTCCACAGTAATCTAAGGATGAACTGAAGGCAACATGAAAGACTATGTCCTTTAAAAATGGTCGGGGGGGGGGCATTTGGCGCTGCAATTAAAGGGACACGTAGGCGAGCCCTCAAAGAGAAGCAATAAATTCCAGAGTGGAGTCCCTGTAACAGAAACAACACACAGACTTCTCTCTACTTCTCTCTCTCCACCTATCCTCAGGTAAGACCAATGGAAATGGTCTTCCTCTGATTAAGGACAATATGATTAAAGTATTCTTTGTTGTGGCAATTTCTGAATTCCTGAAGGTAGTCTATTTTTTAATTTGACTTATATCCTGATTTTATTCTGTACAACTCAAGGTAATGTACATAATGTTCCCTCCTACTTTCCCCACAACAACATCCCTCTGGGGTAGACTGAGAATAAGTGACTGGTCCCAAGTCACCCAGCTGACTTCTGCGCTGAAGAGAAGATAAAACTCATAGTCTCCTAATTTCTAGTCCAGCATCTTAACTGTTACATCAAACCAGCTCTATTTTCCAGGAATTGGATCAGATTCTTAAAGTGTATTTAATTTCACAATGCAATTCATCTAATATTCAGATTCCACATGAAATAATATGAAAGCCGCTAAATGGATATGGTTATTACTGCATAAATTGATTTTAATTTTCTAGTTTAATATTTTTATTTATTTAATTCATGCTTTGTTAATCTATTCTGACAAGTATTCAAGACAGCTAACCAACTTTTAAAATGCAGAATATAAAACCTCAAAAATATACATTAAAGTTCATACTAAAATTAATACCAAAATCAGTTAACAGTTAAAAGTTAAGACAAACTTATTCAGAACGGAGACACAAACTTGCTTCCTGTAATAGGTGTTGTTTCTGGAAAGGGACATTTTCCCATGTCTGTTTCCAAAATGCTCTTCATCTATACAACTTTTGCAAGCTTATCTTAGCTCCTAGTTTATAAAGCTTGTCCTATTCTTTAACTTTATTGCTACACATATATAAAACTCATCTTTGAGTAACTTGTTTCTTCCCAAACTTAGCTGTAATTATGTTTTATACTTATAGAGGAAATGTTTCTTACAAAAGCAAAAATATACAGTCTTTAAATTTATCTTTTCTCTACTCGCTATTAATTTCTTACAGACTTTGATTCAATATGCCTATAGAATATAGCAGGATTTCTGGATCCATTTCACATCTTTACATAGTAAGTTTGAATAGTGAAGCCATCTGTATGCAGCCCAATGTTTGTCAAAAGTAGTTTCTGATTAATGTGAGAAAAAAAAGCAGATCAGCAAAAGTTGCAGATTTGATTTACTGGTAATAATGCATTAATTGAGATTATACTGTAATAAGAGCATTATGCTATTAGCACAACATTATAATTGCTGTAATTTCACATGAATTCATGAAGAATGTGAATGTCATTATCAATCCTAATACATTTTGATTTCAAAAAATCTTCTAGTGGAGTCAATAATTTCTTTTAAATTCATAGGCCAATCATTGTTACAGGGAAACAAGTTAGATTATAGAAAAATATACTTTAACTATTTCCTTACAAACACTCTGAAGATACACAGGGATAAGAGGAATTTTCTAAATCATCTCTATGTCTGAGGCATCCCCAATACATACACACTGCATGGAACCACATTCTTTGTACAGTTCATAAGATTGGGTTGAATATTGAGAGGGCAGTCCCATTTTAAGTATACTTTATGTTGTAAAGACTGAAGCTAAATTCTCATCTGGAACAAGAGAACCACATAACGTTTGTCTATTTGAACTGTGTCCAATACTATAACTGCATTATCATTTTAACTGGTAAGTGAAATGCCTAACTACAGTTGAAAAATATGTTTCAATTACCTTACAACATGTTGTTCTAAAATTACTAAGAGTTGAATATGAACCAAGACTCACCTCTGAAAAGAATTTTATCTGAACTCAGAAATAAAATAACCTACCACTTGTTTGTTATCCTTTATTATTCTTGCCTTTGCATTTTCAATATTATCAGCAGGACAGAAGTGAGAATTTTTTTTCTATTAAAAGTAGTAAATACATTAGGATCGCAGAGATCCTCATTCTTCTTGACAGAAGACTAAAGTCCATCGTTCTTGTACAGTGTTTCTAAATCTTGGCAAGTTTAAGAGGTGTGGACTTCAACTTCCAGAAACAGCATGGCTGTTTGGGGAACTCTGGGAGCTGAAGTCCATACATCTTAAACTTGCCAAGGTTGAGCAACACTGCTTTTGTGAGACAGATACTTGTAGACAGATAGGTCTAGATTTAAATACCTTAACCTGTTTTTCTTGCCCACATTGTTTTTGCAATGTCACAGGATTTATTATATCTTATTTTAATTTGTCTAATGATCTATTTTGAATGTTAATCAGTCCTTAAAGTAATGGTGAGGAGTTGTTTTTTATGCCACTTTACACAGTTTATCAAGAGAGGAAGAAATTAAGGAATTGGTTAGCTATCTGTCATCACTGTTGTTAATTATGGTTCAGTTAAACAGTTCCTCTTCAGCTGAAATCACAGAAATAAAGTGTTGGGATTTCTGCAATCAGCTCAGGAAGCATCTCCAACTTGTTGCGCTGTCCCCAGTTCTTCCCACCTATCCATTCAGGGCAGTTAACAGAATAATTTTTCCTTCTTGGATCACATTCAAAATATTTGCTTGTGTGTGTGCGTTTTTAATGTATTCACTGGGGCTTCTATACCACTGATACCAATAGCAGCTTACAGAATGCTAAACACAGGGTTAAAAGTGTCACATAGCTTCAATCAACTTCCAATGTCAGCCCAATTCCTGGGGGTAGACTAAACTTCCACACCCTCAAAAGCCCTCCCGAAACTCATGTCTGATTCCTCCATCATCACTATTCACTGGAGTGTCCACATACAGCTATCATCAACCTATGAATTCCTACTTTCATTAGCACCCACAATGATCTAGATGTCACCCATTCACACTTGCTGACATACATTTTAACCTTTTTGAACATAATAACCTACAACTTTACATCCCTGCTTCACAAGATCAGACCACTGAATTACATACTTCCACTTTCAGTTTCATGACCACACAACGTATCTATTTTTCTTTCTTTCATTTCATCTGTTAATTAATGCTTGTTATCATTTACTCCTCTTCCATTCCAAGTCAAGTCAAATCAAATTGAATGAAATCAAATCTTTATTACAGCCATGAGGCCAGCAGTCAAACAAAAAATAAAACAAATAAAAATAGAGGTATATAAGACTGAAAACAAAGAACATTAATATAGATTTTCCAAATCTGAGGAAAGGCAGATGATATATATGGAAGCACAGAAATGGGCAACCCAGAAGCATATAATTAAGCAAAGCCATGAACGTCTTATCCCAGTGCCTGGAGGTTGTGAGGGTCTGGATGGGGAACAGCAGACTTCAGCTGAACCCTGGCAAGACTGAGTGGCTTTTGGTTTTGGGGCCTGCCACTTCTAGGACTGTGCCTTCTTTGGTGCTGGATAGGGAAGTACTGCCCCAGACAGACCCAGTGCGCAATCTGGGGGTCTTCCTGGACTCACAGCTCCTACTCAAAAAGGAGAAGGCAGTTGTGCCTAGGAGGGCCTTTGCACAGCTTTGTGTTGTGCACCAATTGTGCCCATTCCTAGATTGGGGGGGGGCTCTAGGAGCCCTAAGCACCTCCAGATTGGACAACTGTAATGTGCTCTACATGGGGCTGCCCTTGAAGAGTATCCAGAAGCTTCAGCTGGTGAATGCAGAGGTATGGGCAGTTATGTGTGCTTCCAGAACAGCACATGTCACATCTCTGCTCTGTGAGCTGCATTGGCTTCCAGTCTGCTTTCGGGTGCAATTCAAAGTGCTGATTTTGACCTTTAAAGCCCTTCATGGCATGGGACCAGGTTATCTGAGAGACTGCCTCTCCCCAATTACACCTGCCCATCCCATTAGATCCGGCAGAGAGAGTGTGCTGCAGATCCCACCCGCTATGGACTTACACTTGGCAGGTCCCAGGAGGCGGGCCTTCTCTACTGTGGTGCCTGCCTTATGGAACATCCTGTCTCCCCCACCCCCAAAATGAGGTTATCTCCATACCTGTATTGTTCTGGAAGTCCCTCAAGACCTGGCTATGTCAACAGGCCTGGGGCTCCCAGGGGACTGGTAACATTTTAAGATGGCTCTACTATTGCAGTTAATATTCACTCTCTCCTGTGCCTTTAGTTTTAGATATTTTAATAATAATTGTTTTTATATATTTTAATAATGACTGTTTTTTATATATTTATTGTTTGACTTCATTGTAGTACACAGCCCAAAGTCACTTTTTTGTGACATGGGCAGCCATATAAATTTGATTGATAGATAGATAGATAGATAGATAGATAGATAGATAGATAGATA